GTGATGACGCCCAACCACAAACAACAAGGGACGAACACATGTTCGACACACTCTACACCCCACCTACAAAGCGCCTCTCCTCTCACACTTCTTACACCAAAACCAACTCACTGATTCCCACTCTCCACAACCCGCTTGCCAACAATGATGACCTTCCGTGCGGGTTGGCAGCTTTCTCCCGAGGCTGTGCTGCTGGTCAGAGGTACAGGCGATACTCCCTCCACCTCAACCGTCGACACGTTGGCTGGCAGCGATTTGACAATCACTCGAGCCCCCTTCCGTGCAACAGGAATTGCACACTCTGGTCCCGATTCCTCACAAGGTCTAAGGACAGTAATGCAAACAGAAGACGTGGTTGAAGTCATCACAAATTAAGTGGTTCTCCACCCCTCCTCCTCCCTCCTACCACCTCTCCAATCACCTCATCTCTCGCTATATCCATATAACCCAGTAGCAATTGAAGCACCCCATCCTCCATATTATCAACCTAAGCTAATGCCTGCCAGATAACTGCCTCCTAAGCTCCTCCCACAAGGAGAGCGTGGGCACACACACACACAACAGACTGTACACTTACGCAGTCCATCCAGAGGTGTCGAGGTCACGCAAATCAACCGCCTCCTCCACCACCCGCCTGTATCGTCTCTTACCAGTGAATCGTAACACACCTCTAATTGCTGAGATGGCATTCCCGAGGCGCTCTTTCAAGCCCTCATACCCACCTCCACTCCTTGACCAAATGCCGCGCGCCACAGAGGTGGTGAAGCACAGCGGTGATTGTGCATTTGGAAATAGGAGAAGGGAGGCAAGCACGTGAACCGATGTTGCGCGCGCCGGATCACCACGCGTGCACTGTCTGATCTCATTCCACACCACCTCCATCGGTCGACCACGCAGCTCCACTCTGCATACTGGCAAGCGCGACGACTCCCTCTCCATTGACTCACCACAGTACGGACACATTATCCACACACACGTCTCAGCGGAGTCGAACCTCCTCTTCTCGTGACTTCTACAAACACCACAACTTTCATGCATCAATGCAGCCTACACTAACCATCAACCAACCAAGCCCACACAATCCTAAGGTCGCCTCGCTGCCTCCTTCTTATCTAACCAATCAACATACACCAATAGACACACTCCCTTACCCCGCGTAATGCGCCTGTATGGCCTTGACGGTGCTGAAGCATAAACCACACATCCCACACAAGTAGATGTTCTTGCCATGCGAGCCCAATGACTTTGTGTTGGCTGGATTGACGGGATAGTAGACTGAGGGTGATCGCGAACAATGCCACGACTTCTCGGGCAGTTGGCGCAGTCGACGCAGACGATAGTGACCCTCCTCCACGTGACGACACAGCGAGAGGAAGGAGTCTGGCTGAAACGAACAGCCCGCCTTCACACATGTGCACGCATACACTCCACCCAAGTCCTTGGGCCTCCAACGCAGACTGGCTGCAGCAACACCGGTGGGCGGGAGCGTCTGATGCAAGTACTCGCGCTCCTCCTTGCGTCCCTCCTCCGTCATCTTTGGCGCCTTGACGCCACGCAACCGCATCCTCTCAGGCATCTGTCTGCGATACTGCTCCGCCACCAAACTTCGTCCTATCCATTCATAACACAATGCCAAGCACTATGTGCAGCGAGAAGCAATTCACCCACAAGCCTAACCTTGCACAACCTCTCCAACTCCACCTACCGATGCTGCAGAGCAGTCGAACGGAGGGCCGCAAGAGATCGCGACACTCCTCTCCCCCACTCTCCACCTCACCAAGCTGCACTGGAATCGTGTCTGTCAGCTGCAGATTGTAGGTATGCATGACGGGGAAGGCGACATTGAGTGCCGGAACCGCACGCTCTACGCTCGTACCATCGATTCGCTGCGAGCCAAGGGAGTGCGGACTTGCCCGAGCCAGTAGCGACTGCAACGTGTCTGACTCCTCATCTACACTCGTGTTCGTAGGGATGCCGCAGTCTCCGCTCGTCTCAATCAGCCCACTGTTCTG